TCTCACTAATCCCCTTCTGTCTCTCGTCCTCTTCCTCCCCTTCTCCATCTCCTCAGAATGCCATAAACACATAAACAGAAGACAATTTTTAAACTAGTTTCCTCTTGTCTTCCAATGTCATTTTCTACTGTGCCGTTTTTTGTTTGTTTCTTTGTTTTTGGCAGTACTGGGGACTGAACCCAGGGTCTTCACACTGCTATATCCCACTCCACCCCCTTTTTTTAATTTGAGCAGGAATCTCGCTAAATTGCCCAGGCTGAATTCAAAATTGTCATCCTCACACCTTAGCCTCGTAGAGTGCTGGCATTATAAGTGTATGCCATAACCTCCAGCTTTTATTTTCCTATCTTTTCCAGTGTTACTTCTATTTTATTTTATAAGAGATAAATGTCAACCTTGTAGGTTTTCATATCTCTTTCTTCCCTGTAAGATGGAAGAAATGCTTCTTGGCCATTTGTTTTTTTTTTTTTTTTTTTTTTTTTTTTTTGGTACAAGGGATCAAACTCAGGACCTTACACTTGCAAGGCAGGCGGTGGCACCACTGAGCTAAGTCCCTGGCCCATTCTGTAAAATTTCCATAAACTGTTTCTTTTCATGTGACATGTCTTTATTTCAGCTGAAGGCTTGATTTTCCAAAAGCTGTTTCTTTAAATCTCATCTTGAAGCTAGGATTAGTGGTACATGCCTATAATCCCAGCTCTCTGGGAGGATGAGGCACAAAAATTCCAAGTTTGAGCCCAGCCTGGAAAACTTAGCACCTTAGAGAGATCCTGTCTCAAAATCATAACAAGGATTGGGGATATAGTAGCTCAGTATGAAGGCCCTGGGTTTAATCCCCACAATCCCCAATACTAAAAAAATTGTTTTAATATGCTTTCTTCCTTCTGTCTGTTACTAATAATCATTTGAGTATTTTCCTACTTCTAGGTTGGGGGATCTGTACCTCTGAAGAGAATGAATAATGACACCCTACCTAAAAATATATCCTCCCGTGAACAATGATCACAATTACTGTTATGGTTTAGATTGCAAGCGTCCCCTAGAAGTATCATGTGTATAACAGCTGATTGGGTCGTGGTGGCACTATGCTCATCAGTGGATTCATCCATTGATGAATTCAGTAACTGAATGTGCCATTAGTTGCTAGGGCGTGGTTGGAGATAGGTCACTGGGAATGTGACCTAGAAACATGTATTCTTGTCCCTGGTTCTCTCCTTCCTGGCTGCCATGGGCTGAACAGCTGTCCACTTCCAAATGTTCCCCCATAATATTTCTGCCTTGGAGTCAGCAGACCATGAACTGAAACTTTGAACCAAAATAAACCTCTCCTTTGTTAATTTTCAGGTGTCTGATATTTTGTCCCAGTGGTAGGAAAGTGACTAAGATAACTACATTTAATTATTGCAAGGTTTTATGACATTTATTTAAATTCTTTTGTAAAAGGATGTCCATAATTATTCTCACTTCTATAAGCTAGAAAGAACAAAACAATGAAAGAACAAAACATTTTCGTTTTACTTTCCAATGAAAATATCAGGAGATTCTATATAATTATACAATTGGCCAATTCTATCTGGCATTAATAACTACCTCATGTTTTCAAAATATCCAGTTAACACTACCTATATAGACTGCAGCCACACAACATATAGGAGCAGAGATGGAAAACAAAGTTAAAGTAATGTCCAAATACACTATTTCTGAAAACAATATGAAACCAAAAGCAGAAAAAAAGGTATAATTATTAAGTGAATGTTACTGAGTAGAGCACTAAGTTTCTTCATTTACTTCTGCTATCGAGGCCCTGTTGGAAGCATCAAACTTTGAACACCTACATATACTACTTTACCATCAGGAGGGTAAATTAAGAACACATATTTCAATATTAGAAAATACAAATATTATTTTCACCTTCTTGCAATCCTTAATCCTGAGCTTAATCTTCAATCAGTGGTTTCCAAAGTACAAAGATTACGTAAATGATTCTCTGGGGTTTGGGAAGTTCTGATTATTATTCCAAAAATAAAAGAAAGTGAGGTTTACTAAAGTTTAGCAAAAGAATAATCCCTGGCTCTCTCATGGGATCTATAAGCTCAAATGGTACATGAGGTAGCTTAGGGGAACAGTGTGGTATTCACAATACAGATATATTTCAGTGTACTGCTATATACTGTAACTAGCATATTCCAGGGAAGATGGAGTTACTGATTATATTATCTATTTTTAACTGAATTAACCCTCACAAAATTAAAAAAGTAGCTCTAAATGTTCCCTGCAAATACAAAAGATTGAGAATAACATGATAATAGCAACAATGCAAGCACAAAGGAACATGAACTGTTAGACTCTTACATCTCCTTATAATTCTGAATCTTTTGTCTATCATCACACAGTAAAAGCAACAAAAATCTAAGGCCAAGAAACTTTCATCACAAGATTGAAACTATGAAGGTAACTACTGAATATAGATAGGGGTATAAATCACCAGTGATGAGCCTTACTTTAAGTGTATATTATATTTAAAATACTAGTTAATTATAGTATAAAGGCACCTTAAATTTGCAGGCCCACCTGGGGTTTCAAAAAAAGAACCTATTTCAGAATTACTAATGGGGCGATAAAAGAGATGAGACTAGGCAACACTATGAAGATGGAAGGAAAGCCAGTTATGGTGCTATCTTAGGAACCACAAGAGACAACTAAAGAAAGACACCAGTACCTGTCCTTGCTGCCACTGTGATACAGAAATTGGAGAAACTGAAGAAGATTGGGCAAGGCCTCTGGAACAGCGTTCAAGGCCAAAAATTTGGAGACCCATGAGATTGTGACTCTGAAGTGGGTGATGATGGATGATGATGATGAGGGTGTACCCAGTTTAGTCCTCCAGAAAATCTACCTTCTCAAAGAGCTAAAGCACAAGAACATTGGAGGCTTCAGAGAAACAAGCTGATCTTGGTTTTTGAGTTCTGTGATCAGAACCTGAAAAAGCATTTTGACAGCTGCAGTGGTGACCTCAATCCTGAGACTGTGAAGTCATTCCTCTTCTACAGGCTGCAAGGCCTAGGATTTTGTCACTCCCACAATGTGCACAGGTATCTGAAACCCCACAACCTGCTCATAAACAGGATCAGGAAACTGAAATTGGCTGATTGTAGCTTTGCATGAGGTTTTGGGATCCCAGTCCAGTGCTACTCCGTTGAGGTGGTCACACTGTGGAACCATTTGCTGGATGTCCTCTTTGAGGCAAAGCTGTACTCCATGTCCATCAACATGTGGTGGGCCGGCTGCATCTCTGCAGAGCTGGCCAATACTAGGAGGCCTCCTTCCCTGGCAACGACGTGGATGACCAGCTGAAGAGAATCTTCTGGCTGCCAACCAAGGAGCAGTGGCTCGCCATGACCAAGCTGCCAGACTATAAACCCTACCCAGTGTACCCAGCCACATCCCAAGGAACATCACGCCCTAGTTCAATGCCACAGGGAGGGACCTACTGCAGAATATCCTTAAGTGTAATCCTGCCAAGAGCATCTCAGCAGAGGAGGACCTGTAGCACCCCTACTTGTCTGACTTCTGTCCCCCTTAGACTCCAGGTCTCCTGGCTGCCAGGCTGGAGCCTGGCCTATTTAAGTCCCATGAGGGAGAGTAGACAGGGTGGTAGGTTGCTGAGGTCCAGCTGTGCTGGGCCCAGGCAGAGTGGAAGCACCCTGGCCCGGGGTCTTTACACCCTCCATGAACTTTATTTAATTTCATAAACTGTATCCTTTCCCCCCACACACACACACACAATAAAATAAAGAAAGAATAATACCATCCAAACTAAGACTCTAAAAACATCTGGAGGACAACTGAGGACATATATGTAACAGTTACTATGAGAGCAGAACCAGTGAGATTTGATATAGAAGTGAATGAGAAAAATGAACAGAGTAGAAAATGATCCTACAGTGTTAAGCTTAAGAGAACTGGACTATGGCAAGGCCACTAGTGAACTCTTAACAATTTTAGTATTGCAAAAACTAGTAACTAAACTGACAAGCAGATTAAGACTGTAAGTGTAAACTCTGAGTGAAGAGAAGGAATAATTTAAAAGATTAAAAGTGTTAACAAAGAGTCTTAAATGTTTGTTTTTGTCATTGTCATTATTTTTAAGCAATTAAGATAAGACAGTGAGTGGCAAAAGGAGGGACTTCCAGGTGATCATGAAATACTGGAAAGTGAAGGACTTATCTGATAAGGAAAGGAGTACTGCAAACATTTATAAAATTGTTTATATAGAATTTATAAGGGATAAATGAGAGAGAAATTTAAACTAATGAATTATGGATCAGGATCTCCAGTTCTCCTCTGATCAAAGTAAGCAATGTAATATGGCCCAATGCCTCATTTCTGCCTTCTAACATTAACTGCCAAATTTTAAAAATAATATATTTATTATCTAATACAAGAAATAATTTAGGGAGGCTGAGGCAGGAGTATCGCTGTGAGTTCAAGACCAGCCTAGGCTACATAGAGAGTTCCTGGTCAGTCTCAACTACATAGTGAGACCCTGTCTCAAAAAAAAAAATATATAATAATAATAATTTATATCATAAGCTAGAAAATATAATATGCTAAACATGCAAGCTGTATGACTATTGCTAATAGAACAATAGATGAACTAATTTCTGTTCCCCAAAAGAACTGTGGACTTAGGCTTGTTTTGTTTTGTAGAAATAAACACATAAATGAGTTAACTGAAACTTTGACCAATGCCCCAGAAACTAGAAAACAAGAATAACTAAGTGTCTCTGCTTTTAGGAGCTCATAGTGTAAGAGAGACAAGTAAGGATGTTTTAGCTCAAAAAACCATTAGTTTTACAAATAGTTCTGTTGCATAAGCGAGGTTTTGTTTCGTCCTTTGCATGATAAATACCTTCCACACAAATATACTTACTTAAATACGCTGGTATTCTAGGGACACACACTTTCAAAACTAAAACAAAATTAGAGCTCAAACTTACCATCATTTTTTCAAAGAGATCCAGTACTTCTTTTTCTGACAAATTCAAAGATCGCTCATCATATAATGGCTGAGCTGCTGGGAACTCACTCATCGAGACTTGAGAATCAATAGGATGTTGAATAAGAGGTTTCTCTTTTTTGACTGTAGATTTTCTAAAACTTGTAATTCGATCACGCTGAAAATACAAAAAAATAAAAAGTCCTAAGAAAAAGATCAAGAACCATGAAAATGAATTGAAACATCAAAATGGCACTTAATGTAATATATATTATTACTGTCTCTTGACAAAGTGTTATTTTAAGCAGCAAGCTCTAGTTGGAGATTGTACTGTCGAAACTTTGAAACAGAACTTCAGTTTCAGAAGTCTAATGGTGAAAAGTATTCCTCAAAAGCAAAATGTAGTTTGTTGTCATGTCTGTTTTGCACAGTTAAATAGGTGAAAAGAAAATCAAAATGCGGTGGTTGTTTCAGGGAGAATTTTTCTTTGGTGGCAACTTTAAAATTATGAAAAAAAGGAAAAATAGAGCCACTGATATCCAATTCTAAGAGGAAATTATGCAATTTTTTTTCTTCAAAGACAAAAAATGTGACAGATATATGAAAAATTCATCGGTATAGTAAAAGTAGAGTGGCTGAGAGCATGAACTCTGAAGCCAGATTAGCTGGCTTTGCGTCCAGTCTCTTCCACTAACTGAGTAGCTTGGCCCGTCTCTCTGATTGTTTCATCTTTTATAAAATAGGAATAGTGTTATTACCTATATCATAGGGTTATTGGAGATTTAAATAATATGCTTAGTGAACTCGGGTGCTATTTATTGCTGTTGTTACTATTATTATTTTCTCCCAACTTTTTCTTCCCCCCGAAGTGGGGAATAATAAGGAAGCAAAACAAAAAATAAAAATATCACTTTTTGCCTTTACTGGTAAGGTAATATAAGCAGAAATATTTTATTCTTATAAATACTATTATAGACACTGATTTTGAACCATTCATTCCATGTACAATCTCTAAAAAAATAAGCTTGCTGTTTTACAGAAAATATCCATCCCATAAAATAAGCCCATCTATTTTAAACCACAAAACAATGGACATCAAAAATTAGTAATATACATAAAACTGAATGGAACTCAGTTTTATTCGAGTTTCTGTTAAGAAGCACATGCATACCATAGCTTGTGTTAAATAAGCAGATACATTAGATATGCGAACAGTGCATGTTCACTGCCATGTTACCAGAGTTCTTAAAAATTACTTCAACAATACAAAAAGCATCACATATGTTATTACTGTAGCTTATGTAAAATTATATTGACCCCTCCACACTATAAGAACATATCTTTTATTACACTGATTCAAAGAACACGTTTTTAACTAAAAGGTGTACTTTGAAAAAATGAGCTGTTTTAAGCAGCTTATTTAGGATTACAAAAAGGAACTCAATATGTAGTTGCTTACAAAGAGATAATATAAACCAGTGTTTTGGAGCTAGGACGAAATATGAAAAATCGTCTAGACCAACTCCCTCATTTCACAGGAAAAGAGATATATCTAAATTCATGAGCCTGTGGATCCTATCTTGTCTTCACATTAACTTAAAATTCATTTCTTTGAATTATTTTGCATATGTGCTACAAAAGCAAGCACTCTTTGAATTATTTTTAATTATATTTTCAATTTTTTAACACTTTGAGGGAATTACACTGGTCAAGGGAAAAAAAATTAGGTAATCCCAAATAAGCTGAGTACACATCCAACAATCATATTTCACTAAAAAAAAAGTGGACATGAAAGCATTTAAATATGCAATTGACCATTATATTAACATACCTCTTTTCCATTTCCTTTATAGCATTTAGTATTTACATTCATAGTACTAGTATTTTTACTAAGTAGCACTATTACTAACATATATGGAGTTGATCTTTCATAATGTTCTTCATTTTTATCTTTAAAAGTTCTACTTTCTTTTAGGAAGCATTTCATTTTCAGCTGTACCTTGTTAAGACAATGAAGTCCAACCGCATAGTTTCATCTACTTAGAGTGCTAACACAATTTTACATTATTTGTAGATAGGTAATTTCACACAGAAAAATACTCACATTGCTTAAAATATCATTGTGAATAGTTCAGCTATAAAAGGGCACATTTAAATTTTGAGCCCATAATTTTTAGTTAGTTTTACTATGATAGACACAGCTTGAAAATATTTAAGGTTTTTAAACTCAATAGCATATATGCAACTAGGACAATGAACTTAATTTCCTTTCTACTTAAAATTAATTTCCTGTAATATTAGTGCTTAATACATTTGCAATTTATTTGGCTATTGAAAAAGGAAATGTCTATATTTTCCAGAGTCTAAATATACATAGAATTTTAAAAAGAGTTTGGTAACAGAATAGACGAAGATGATAATATCAAAATTTTGTTGCGATCTCACACAACTGTTCATGTGAATATTCAGAAATTCTACTATATTTTGTAAACATCCTATTTTATGTCTTACATATATCAATGCTTTAATGTCCACCGCTTTTAATAAAAAAGTAACATGCATAATATAATAACATGCTTCTAACACCACCTTACCACATCATCTGCCAAAGTTTTTATTTGAATGTTCTATTAAAACCAAAAGAAAACAAAAAGAAATTCCAGTCAGACAAGAGAAACTCATAGATCAAACAACACGATAATTGAATGAGCCTTATTTTTTATCAATAGTAAAAAAATCAGAAAGTTTAATATATAAGCAATATAATCTTTTCAAAAGAAAAACAACTTTTTAGTGATTAAAAATGAAGGTGTCAGGTTTCTATTAATTTTTTGAATGAAGATTCCAACATCCCAAAGCCAAACGTGGATCAGGTATCACTATCATAATGTTCAAATATAAGAAAATACACAGCAAAATCAGAGGCTCTTGAAAGCTTTTTCAAAGTTTTGGATTAATCATGTTTTTAAAATGTCTAATTTTTAATTATATGGAAATTTTTTATTCCTGATATTTTTATTGGTGAATGTTTGCAATAACTGTTCGGGGGAAATTGTACATGCTTATAGTATAAAATAACTAATTTTTTTAAAAAATGTACAATTAGGAAAGTATCACATTAAATATTAGCACAATATAATGAAACAGCTTGATCTAAGAACTCAGTGTTACATCCAGTGAAGATTTAAAGGATACTTTGCTTTTGTGGGTTTTTCTGAGACAGGGTCTCGCTATGTAGCTCAGGCTGGCCTTGAACTCACTATGTAGTCCAGGATGTCCTCAAACTCATGGTGATCCTTCTGCCTTAGCCTCTCAAGTGCTGGGACTACAGGTGTACACCACGACGCCTGGTCTAAAGAACACGTTTATAAACATTTTAAATAATACTGAATTGTGTGGTTCTGTTAATATGTGCCAATATCCCAAAACCTAACATTTTTTTTGCATGTGCATTTCTACTTCTAATACTATACTGAGCCTGCCGGGAAATGGTGTATTCTAGCTAAATTGGAGTGCTTAATAAAAACTACAACATATATGAGCATCACTACTTGAATTATTAATATACAATAAAGCCACTTCCTAACAATTTAGTAATCTTGCATGATTAAGGAGACACCTCAAGCTCTTACATTAACATCTGATCGGTATGAAGCTGTTTTTTGTTTTCTGGGGATTTTTGGCACCAGGGATCAAAATCAGGACCTTGCACTGGGAAGACAGACATGGTGCCAATGAGTCAAACCCCCAGCCCTGAAGCTCAGTTTTTATCATATATTGCTAATGTGTCACGTAATGATAGGGATACATTCTGACAAATGTATATTAAGTGAGCCATCACTGAGTAAATGCCTTAGAGTGTACTTAAACTAAGAGGGCTATTATGTCACTAGGTGATATAATGTTATGGGACCACTATCATATACGTGGTCCCATCACTGGTAGAAACTTCATTGTGTGGTACCTGATTGTACACTGAAGTATCAATTAATAGATGTATGTAAAAGGAAACAACCAGATTTAATTGTCTATTAAGAATTGGAAGTCTGGTGTGGTGGCACACGCCTGTAATCCCAGCACTTGGGAGGCTGAGGCAGGAGGATCACTGTGAGTTCGAGACCACCCTGGGCTACATAGTGAGTTCCAGTTCAGTCTCAACTACATAGTGAGACCCTGTCTCAAAAAACCAAAAAAAAAAAATTGGATTTAACCCTTCTTCCATATTTTATATATTGATTTCTTACAAAAGAAGCTGAATAGTGCATATTAGCTTGGCTTTGTGTGTTCAATTCTTCTTAACTAGAAAAAAAAATATTATTCTCCATGGTGAGAAGGATTCTGTTGCAAATTTTAAGCGAGAAGTGATGGGTCTCAGGATCTCAGAAAATTTTTCTAATATCACCAACTCTGTGCTATTAAAAATCATCCTTCCTTAGATCAGCTAAGGCAAATATACTACTACATCTATAGCTCTTTTTTCTACTTTGAATCCTTTGATTCTCTCAGGAATCTAAACTTCTAATCTCTGTATTATATTTCATCACCAACTCTAATCAATCTTTATTGCCATGGAAAAAGAAAAGAGAATGACTGATTGATTGGCTTGGTACCAGGGACAGAACTCAGGACCTTATGCTTGTGAGGCAGGTGGTGGCACCGCTGAGCTAAATCCCTGGTCCTAGAGAGAGATTTATTTATACCAGAACTAAAGCCATTTTAAGAAAGATGATTTCACCCTAGAACTCTCTGTACTAGCAATTTTCTGTTTAGCTTTTCTCCTGGTTACACAAAACTTTAATACCTTATGACAAGCTTCATGATTTCTTACAATGCAAAACCAGATAAAGAAATGCCAAAGTATCAAGAGTGCTTGAATTAACCTTGCTACCATCTGGGTGTATTCCTGTCTACCTGAGTTTTTGAGAGAGATCATAGAGTTCTTCAAGAAACTCCTGCTTTTCATTTTGTTTGCATCTTTTAGGGTTATAAACTCAAAGGATGGAAACACACTTGTACTATATCTCCAAAGAAAGAACATAAATTAAAGGAAAATACAATTTGCTGTAGTCAAATTTTCTGTTAACGTACACGTCACAAATCCTTCAAATCTGTAAATCAACTGAACACACTGACAGTTTAATCACAGAAGTCTGTTTAAAGGGGAAAAAAAACTTGCTACCAATATGTCCATATGGTCTTTTGGGAAGAGACTTGAATCTTTTCTGTCCCCACTACTCTCTTTTTGTAATTAACGTAATGTGGCCAAAGTTCTCATTTTACAAATAAGAGGATAACATTCACATTAATGGTACCACCTGTCCTCCATTTGTCTACAGCTCAGACTTCCATGTCACCTTGGTCTCCTCCTTCTTTATTCCCATGAGCCAAGAAGGTGGCTGCCCAGTCCCATAATAATCTTGTTGCAATCCAGAGATCTGGTTTAAGTCCCAATCATCTCTCTTTTATTGGGGGGGGGGGCTTTTCTTAGAGAGAGTCTTGCTATGTACTTCAGGCTGACATTGACGACAGCGATCATCCTACCTCAGCTTCCCAAGTCCTGGGTTTACAGGCTTGTGCCACCACGCACCACAAAGCCCCAATCATTTCATCAGATTTCTGTACTTACCTCCTAACCTATCTCCCTGCCTCTATCTTTGCTCTTCTACAGCTAATTTTTTAACATAGCAAAGTAATACTGTGAAAAGCAGTCAGATTATAAAAGTCCTCAGTTCAAAACTGTGCAATGATTATTTTTCCCTCCCAAGGAAAATCAGTCATTATTACCAGGGCCTATAAGCCTCTTTGGATTTGTATCTTTTTTACCTCATCCTACTACTGCTCTCCATTCATTCAGTTATAGCCACACTGACCACCTCCCTACTCCCTAATAAAGCCATAAGCCATAAGCATTGGCTCTTCCCTCTACCAGAAATTCCCTTTTCCATTATCCACATATCTTGCTCCCCTTATAATTTTTGAAGGGTTTTGTGAATCCTATTCTGTCTACGATATTTGAAAAGGAAACACTGGCCTCCTCTACACATTCCTGGCACTCCTGACTTGCTTTATCATGCTCTGTTTTCCCTTTTGCTCCAATAGAACTTAACACATTGAACAAAATAACTTTTTCTTTTTTGGTCTGTTTTTCCTACTAAAAATATGAGCTCTACAAGACAGAGATTTTTGTACTTTGGGTATTGGAACATACCCCTAATATCTAGAGCTGTGCTTAGCAAATTGGAGATTACTTAATAAATATTATGAATGATACTCATACTCCCATTCATATTCAATGATGACCTATAAAAACTAATATCTTTAATAAGGTACATAAAGTTCTGTATGATTTGGCCCAAGGCTACCTTATACATCTTTTCCCTTATGAACCCTGTGCTGTATAAAATAAAAATGGAAATCCTTTTCCTAATATATGCCCATTGATGCCCTGGTTTGTGCCTCTGATATTCCCTCATTTTGCTACATATGTTTCTTCTTCTAGAGCCTCCTCTGAATGTTGCCAATTTTTTTTTCTCAGTACCCGTGATCAAACTCAGGACCTTACACTTGCCAGGCAGTCATGATGCCACTGAGCTACATTCCCCCTAAGCTTTCTATGAAAGTAAAGTTTATTGATAAATCAAATGTAGACTCCCACGTCAAAAAGTACTAGAAGAGGGTAGTGCTTTGTTTTATTCCTAAAGAATGTTTTTTCAACAAATATTTGCAGGAATGATGGAGTATGCCAAGGCACACAGGAAATTATATGCATTTTTTAAATTATTCTGATTACATGTGAGAAAGAACCATAAAAACACTGGTCTGAGTTTCTTCATTCATACATCAGTTCATTCAAAAAACAGTACAGACTGTTAACTGTTGCATATTTATCCTAATATGAATATTTTCTCAAACATTTTTCTCATATAAAAATTTGGTTTTATAAAGGGTCATATTTTGCAAATATAGTAAGATTATTCATAGCTCTTCTTTATTGCCATTTTGGAGACAAATGTGGAGTACTGAAAAAAAATCCTTAAGCAGATATGAAGAGACTGTTCACAAACGATGATTCTGGGCCTATACAGATTAAAGATGCATTAAAAAATCCATATATGTTTAAATTAAATGACTTGCACTTGGAAAGAAACAATGTCCATCACATAATTGGCTTGAAGTATTAATTTAAAAAGAGATTTGAAAAGACTCTGTCACAGCAAAAAAATACAGAAGTTCAGGGAATCACAAGAAGTTGTTTTTTGGCAAATTAAATCAATCATTTTTATGTGAATTGCTCTTTAAAACACATTTGAAAATGGTTGCATTAAAATACATTTTCAAGGGGCTGGGGATTTAGCTCAGTGGTTCCACCACCTGCCTTGCAAGCACAAGGTCCCAAGTTCAATCCCTGTACCTAAATAAAGAAACAAATACATAAAATAAAATAAAATAAATTTTCAGGACTGGAGGTATAGCACAGTGGTAGAGCGCTCACCTAGCACACATGAGGGCTTGAGTTTGATCACCAGCACCACAAAATAAATAAATAAAATACCTTTGCATTTACAGTAATGTTCTTCAGGGATAAGCTCTCAAATTTTATCTGAATGGAATTTATGTAGACATGTGC